AAGAGATAGAACAGACAGATTCTTTAGTAGGTTCTCAGGCTGAATTTCAAAAAATTAGAAGTTTTCCGAAAATCTTGGCAGAAGCAGTTCAGCTGACTCAAAACAGTTCTTTGACTTTTTCAAAGTTGTTAGCTCAATTTTCAAATTCATTTTCGCTTTCTCTATCTCAATTACTCGTATTCGATAATGTAAATGCGCCAAACTCGCCAAAATCATGAATCTCAATCAATCAGCAGAATCTTTCGTTTATGTAAACCCCTCTATTCCTCCTGACATGGTACGACCCCATCTCGAAAATCTGTCAGTTTTTGATCAATACTTGCTAAAATGTCTTGTAAATGAATGGAATTGTAAATCGGCTATTTCTAGTTTATCTAGTTTCACCTCAGATCTCAATCCGAGCACAAGTGTTCTTCGGAAAGGTACGAGTGACCACTGGCCCGTTTTGCATACGAGCAATTATTTAACTTCTTCTATGTATTATTTTAAGGATATTCGATGGCAACTTTATTCCATTTTCCTCTCTTTCGTTTGTTCATATTTTAATCACCTTGTTTTCCGAGGAATTTTCCGAGCTTTTCTCAATATTTTTGGGTTCTTTTTCGGTTCGAGTTTCGCGTCTCGTACCTGGCGGCGATACAGCAGTTTTCCAGCGAACACGACGAGCCTTTTTCGGTAACATATAATGAAATTAGAAAAGATCTAGGACATCCGAAATCGAAGAAAGCTCTAGACGTGCACGGTTCGTCGAATATTATTTTAAAAAAGCTACGCATCGAATATGCTTAGCTATCACCGTTTTTCGAAAGATCATTATTTAAAAATCGAATGACGCAATTTCGTCCCTGAAATTTTGCCCATATACAATCCTGAAAGCCCTTAGACTATTCGAAAAGTTCCAGTTAAAACGGACTGAAGAAACATCCACTGCGACTGGAACTTTTCGGACGTTTTACGATGTTATAGCTATCTATGGACAAAATTTTAGGTCGAAATTACAGTAATAACTCTGAAAGGAATAGAGTGATGATTCCTAATAAAAACAATGAGGAAAGAAGGTAGTCTCTATAGCTCTGCTGCATCTCTATTCGACACTTTATCGAAAAACTGATTTTTACATATTAAGAACTTGATGTTGTGTGCGTCGAATGGTATAGAAATGAGCACTTTCTTACGAAAGATGACCAAAAAATGAGCAATCTATTATCAACGACTCACTCCGTCATTATTATGGACACATTCCCTAATAACAACGGCATGCGAACCTATAGCCTGGACTATATTAGGACAACGGTCCGACATAACGACAGGTAAGCAACAACAACAAGGTAACAAACAAGAAAGCGTTTTCTTTCGCCGTCTCTGTACAAAATAGAGCAAAAAACTTGTTTAAAATTTCGTAGATCTTACCAAACTACATATAACTTGTACGATTCGTGGGAAATGCTTGTCTCCTCGCTGAGACAAAGCGTGCTCACAAAAACATAGGCCGCCGTTATTAGTGACCACGCGATGGTCACGGGTCTGTGTCTTAAAAAAAGAAAAAAACATGGTTTTCGTTACAGCAAACATTAATTTTACATAAAGAGAATGAAAAGAATAATCTATCTTATGATAGCAAATGATGAAAAAGAAAAAGCCAGCGGATGTGTACTTACTCTTAACCAAATTGACAGGTGTAGTATGTATGCACGTGTATTTGTTGTTAGAAGAATGAAAGCAGACGTTTTGGTGTGCACTTCGCCGGTTGACAAGACAGTGTAAAATAGTACCTATCTGAGCAAGGGTACGTATCAATTTGCCAAAGGATATTAAACGAAAAAATATCGGTTTGCAAAGTTACTTTCGTTTGACATCACTATCGATCGTTTCTTCTTTTGCGGAAAAAGTAAATAATCCATTCAAACACATCCCCAGTTGACTGAGTTATGAATCGAGCACTGTCGTCAGCTTGAGACGCCCACTTACTCAATCGCATTTATTCGTAATCGTTATTCGACAGTTTCTCCAGTAAAAGCTCGTGAGAAATCGCTATCTACCTTAAGACAGGAAAGCGACTACAACAACCGAATGGTCTGCCGTTGAATTCTAGTACACGCTCCTATCTAAAGGAGAATGAAGTACTTCTCAAAAACATTTAGTCAAATTTTCGATTACTGGCTCAATTCAAGTGAGATTCTGCGAATTTTTTAAAGATTCAAAATCGTCAGTTATCAAGACCCTTAATGAATCAAAAGAATTAATGTATCTGGCACGTTGATTGACCGGTCGTCTGATCAGTGTTGGATAGTATAGACTTACCAAAAGGAATGATGACTCATGGCCGGAGCTTGTTCGGTCTGAAATAAACCCTCCTTTTAAGATCTTCAGAAACTTTCTTGCGTTTTTATTCTCATCTACGCTCAATAACGAGGAGTTGATGGCTTGTTCAGCTAACGGTCTCCTTTTTTTAGCTCTTTTTCAAAGAACTATGACAATAAAGTTAGAAAATAATCTAAAGCGGCAACTAGATGATTAAGTAGATTAAACATTTCTCTGCAAAATGAAAAGTGTCTCCGCTCTGAACGTTGATTCGCTATGAACATACAACTGTTGTACAAACAGCCTCACAAATCGACTTTAGAGCTATCTGAAAAATGTGTCTGAAAGGGTGAAGACGAGCACGCGAAAATTGAACAAGTATACTAGTTTGTAGAAAATTGTTTGCTCTACAAGTGTCAAAGCGTCACGGTTTTTCTGATTTTTCTTTGATTAATACAGCTTAATTAGAATACCTATCACATCTTGTAGAGCAAATAATTTTCTACGAAGTGGTGTACGTGTTCAATTTTCGCGTGCTCATCTTCACTATTTTAGACACGTTTTGTCAGATAGCTGTAAAATCGTTTTGTGGGGCTGTTTGTACGACAGTTGTATGTTCATAGCGAATCAACGTTCAGAGCCGAGACATTTTTCATTTTGCAGAGAAATTTTTAATCTACTTAATCATCTAGTTGCCACTTTAGATTATTTTCTAACTTTATTGCCATAGTTCTTTGAAAAAGAGCCAAAAAAAGGACACCGTTAGCTGAATAAGCCGTTGAGCCGCATCGAATGTATACGAAAACGATAGTATTATTGCCGATATATTACCCAAACAATCTCAAGGCCAATAGGAAGTCAACTTTGGGTGGGTTTAAAAACTTTAAAGCTTCGAAGTTTTTCTGGAGTTGTAACAAAAAGAATTTTCGCTGTGCGACCAGAAATAACGAAAAAAACTTTTAATTTCCGCTGGGAGGAAAGGATAAATTTTTATTTTTGGTGGTGTCGGATCAATTTTAGTGTTGTCCCTGATAATTACCCTATTTATCTGTCGAGCAAAATCGTAACTAGGTTTCCGACATAGAGGATCTCAAGATAGTGAAATTGTGTATTCTGATCGATTTTATTTTGTTTTCCATTATTAGTTGAATTATGAACATTTTTCCCATATAACTTATTCAACTGTTTATCAATGGTCGCGTCCACAAATCGTTTTGGATAGCCGTTTCATGCTGTTGTAAATAAAGCAACAATCCATTTAGCAAACACTGTATGTAATACGTCTTCAAAGAAGAAGAAAACCAAAGCATTAAAAAGTCAAGTATGTGACGAGAGAACCTCTTCAGGTGTGCCTCTGCCACTTCAATGATTTATATATCGATCGGTAGAGGATAGGGAACTAGTGAAAACCCTAAAAGGATTTCGATTCCTATTGCTTCTTTCAAAAGTTCTAGAACTTTTTCTCTTTTTTTCTAGTGAAACAGGGAAAAATGAAAAACTATATAACACTCTCAAGAAAACGAATTAAGAGCTCAAATGCTTTTCTGTGACTTTTCGATATGTCTCTTATATTCATAAACGATTTCAGCTTTTCAACTGGTTCCGTTTCGACATTATAAACCGTTGAGTTTTCCAACAGTCGGCTCTTGGATTCGCTTACAATCAATCGGCTGTAAAATCATTAATATTTCCCGAAATTTGTTGAAACTTTTAGATATGAAACGAATTTTACTGGTACACACGCTGAATAATCGAAATTATATAATTTCGACGTTTTGAAACTCTGGCTTTCAAGGACGTCTCTAGAGATCCTATTATCTACGATCAGCATGAAGCCACTGATTTTATTTTCTATAGAATAGAAATAAGGTATAAAAACCGTTTCAGATCTGAAAGTTTCAACAAATTTCGTGAAGAATTAACGATTTTACAGCCAATTGATTGTAAGCATATCCAAGAGTTGACTGTTGAAAAACTTAACGATTTATAACGTCGGAACGGAATGTGTTGAAAAGCTGAAAGCTTTTTATAAATATTAGAGACATATAGAAAAGTCATAGAAAAACATTTGAGTATATCAGCACCTGTAGAGGTTCCCCCTTAAGAATTTCCCGTTAGAAAGGCATAAGCCATAAATCAGGCACATTTTTTCAAATTTTACCTTAAATAGCATCTGATAACGCAGTGATAGAATTCTGTAAGTGCAAAATTAAAAATTTATTTGCGAAATTATGTTTAAATATGCGTCATAAGCGTCATATAAAGCTGAAAAATTTATAATGCAGCACATTTATTCAGAAGAATGTTTCAAGTAAAAATCCCTACAGCTACGCAATTGTAAATAAGAAACAGAAAGCAAAAATCATAACCAAAGTGACACATTATTAAACCATGCGCACTATTTTTGCAGATATATACGTATGTGCACATGATTTAGTCATGACCTAACAGTATCAATTAGAAATATCTATTGGTATGCTATATTAATACAGATTGATTAACACAGTGTAACGTCTGATAACTGCATTACCCTTTCACACATTCTGATATATGAAAATGTCAAAACGTTTTTACATTAATCATAATTTTATATTTTTTTCCAAAATGTTTTCCAAGTATCGATGGTAATTATTATGCTCTGTTTCAGAAGTTAAAAAATGATCGCAAACGAAAGTTTAGACTTGCCAGTATGTCGAAGAATGCTAATTAACTATAAACAAACGTCAACTAGCCTCGATTTATTGAATACGACGCTAACAAAGTATATTAATACGAAAACAATCGTGTCTCCTCTAATAGATATGAGATTATTCGAAGTCAATATAGTCGTTTTAATTTCAAGTAATAGTAGTTTCCGTTATGAGGGCGAAGTAAATGCTGATGGTGAACGGCATGGGGAAGGTTATTGTTATTATCCTTATCAGAGTAAATTTGAATGGTGTGGAGAATGGAAAAATGACATGTGGCACAAAGGTATATTTACATGGACAGAAGAAAGAACCCATTTTATCGGTACTTGGGAAGGTGATAAATATGCCGGTATTTATAGAAATTATAACAATGGTGTTTATACCGGAGAATGGCGTCATGGCATTGCACACGGCAAGGGAAAGATAGAAGACAGTGATGGTAATTGGTACGATGGTGAATGGTTAGATGATAAACGAAATGGATTTGGTACTGCTCATGCATCTGGGGAGTACATTTACGAAGGTTCATGGGTAAACGATAATGCTCACGGTTTTGGAACCATGACGTACTTGCCACGAGGTGATGTATACGTTGGAGAGTACAAGGAAGGACACAGACATGGAACAGGAACATTAAGAATGACAAATGGCGATTATTTTGAAGGACAGTTTGAAAATCAATATTTTTGGTCCGGCAATATGTCTTTTCGATACCATAGTGGAGATGTGTATAAAGGAGAAGTGAAACTTGGAAAGTGGGATGGACAAGGACTGTATGTTTTCGCCGATGGTCGAATATACGAAGGAGAATGGAAAGACGGTGTTGAACACGGCAATGGAAGAATGACCTATGCTGTAGATGAGGTTTACGAGGGAGAATTTAAAAATGGATACAGAGATGGTAAAGGAAAATACACATGGGCAAATGGTGAATGGTTTGATGGATATTGGTTGGAAGGGAAACGGAAAGGTTTTTGTACGTTTCGATGCAATAGTGGATTTGAATATACCGGAGAATATGAGAATGAGAGCGCCAACGGATGGGGAGTGTGTGTATGGGCATCCGGCAGTTGGTATGAGGGACAGTGGAAAGATTCAAACAGGCACGGATTCGGAACTTACTGGTGGAAGGATGGATCAAAGTACATTGGAAATTGGGGAGATGAAATTACTGCAACGAACCATCATAACGGTTTTATGGCCTCAAAGGTTGCTGGTTAAGCTCTCGTCTAAGTTGGTATCTTTTGTAAATAACATTGAACATAGTGTTATTATAGTTTAGCGAGACCTTCGAATCGTGATGCTCGAATGTTATTGAATTTACCTGGTTTATCGACGATTCTAATCACAAGCACAGAAAAATCATCAGTTACGCTTAGATTGCCCTTGTTCTTATATTGGGGCTATAGAGTACTTATACTGATTTGTTGTCAGCTAATTTGTTTCATTAACTAAAGGTATTTCAACAAAACGCCGCCAATAACAACAAGAACTGATGCTGGACTGCTCCGTTTTAAAAAATGACGCGTATTCAAGAGATCTCTAGAGAGTATTTTATTTTTACGTTTCATTGAATAGTCACTACGTAATATTTACGAAAGCGATTCAGAGCGCAAAATCTCATAACGCAAATTCGGATCCGGAGGAGTGGAATTAATGTAACAAGAATAGATTTCAAGTTATAGAAACAAAATAAATATTTTACAAAGATGAATGAAAAGTCACATTGTCTAAAGGTTATTTTTTGCATCTCTTTCCAGTCCACCTCGTCCAGTCGGTTCAATAACAGTTAACATTTTTAACTTCTCCGCTATTTTATATAAAGCAATACAAGCTATTATCCTTATTTAATTGATGTACAAACAAGTGAAGGTCTATATTCGCCATTTTTTCGCGTTCTGTAGGCATACAGGCGTTTAAGGTCAAGAACACTCTTCCGTTTGCAATCAAGAGAATAATCAGATATTTGAAACACTACATGGCATTGTATTACATGTAATCAATCAGAATTTGACCTTTAATCAAAGTCGAAAGAGAGACTATTTTTAAATATTATAAAATAAAAGAAACGAAAACAAAAAAGCGTTATGAGGTTATCTTTCTTATATTTTGTTTTTATTATTTTTCTTTCACTTTAATGTATAGGTCTTAAGCTATAGGTTGTAGTGAAAACTGGAATTCGGTAAAATTTTTACAACGATGAATGAAAAGTTCCATTGTCTATATCGTACCTCTTTTCTTCCATTCCCTCTAGTGTCGTACTCTTCGCCACATTTTGTATCCTTCAGTCTGTTGACAGTTTGTATCCTTCACTTGTTTGTACAGCAATTAAATAAGGATAATAGCTGTATTAACTAGTTGAAGACAATCTTTAACACCCTGAATATTTTATTTGATTTTTAACCTATAATTAACTCCTTCGACATCCAAAATATTATTTGATGTGTAGTAAATACAATCATAATACTGAAGTGATTCAGAATTTCCAGTATGATAAACTAATTCATACGTAGTCAAATAGGAGAATTGAGAAATAATTGCTGTTACTCCTAATTCAGCACGACTTGATTTTCTAACATGAGAAATATTTGATCTTGTTTCTTTTACTTGTTGATTTATCTTTAGTCCGTCAAAAGAAAACTAAAGATAAATCAACAAGTAAAAGAAACAAGATCAAATATTTCTCATGTTAGAAAATCAAGTCGTGCTGAAATAGGAGTAACAGCAATCGGGAAGAAAAAGCCAACAAAGTTGGATAAAGAATCGGTAAATATTTTCTTTTTCTTAGGAAAAAATTTCTAATTTGTTATAATTTTTGTAGTCAAAATCATCAGCTAGCTCAAGATCAAATACAAATGGAAGTGTTAAAGTAAGTCTATTAATGACAAATCACGTCTATGAACGTGTTTTATGGTGGTAAAATTAGATATGTCTCTTAATTTCTTCTTCCTTTTTCCTGACGTCAATAGAAGAACTCGGGTAGAGAGAAGAATTTATACTTTAGAACAATCATCATCATAGTGAACGTGATAGTTAGTTGCGAGAATATGATGCAGCTTACAATTTTCTCTTTGTATTCTAGAAAGAGCGAAGTTTTGCTAAAAAAGAGAGAGTGAAATTGGTTTTGTTAATACGATGCTCTAACACTATATATAACCGAAAACTTACGGATGATATATCTACAGTACAGTTCATTTTTCATGATAGTAAATCGCGCAACGGAGAAATACAGTTTTGCATAGCTCGTAGATTTTCCTATGCGATGAAGTCCATATCGCCTTTTTATAAGAAAGCTGGATAATAGGTCTCTGTAAAACCTGACCCCCACAAAAACCAAGTCTTTAGTTTTTGATGAAAAAACTTTCCAAACCATATAGCCGGATAGAGCAAAGAATGCTGGACAATAATATATCCCCCGGCCGGATAACATATTCGAGATCACCATAATAGCTGCTAAATACAGTTAATAGCTGTAAAATCAAAAGATCTCTGGAGAGTTTTTTGTCGAAAATTCTCACAATCAATATAATATTTGCAATCAGCGTTAAAGATTAGCAGTTTCCCCGTGTATCAAATAATCTGTGCAAAGACTTCAAAATAAAAATGTATTTTGCGACGAAGTTTTGATTACATGTGTTGCATTAAAAAAGACATGCGGTAAAAAGCCACAATACTCTAAAATAGAGATGTCCTTAAATAATCATAAAAATGTTTGACAAGTTAAAAAAAAGTTAAAATAGTTTTATATGGCAATTAAGAGTTGAAAGGATTATAAGATGTAAGTACTTATCGAAATTAGAGTTGCTGTGTAAAGTTTGAGCGCAACTCCTAGCTTTGAATAACCCACTTTGATTTTACTATGTTCCCGAAGAGAAATCCGGATAAAACGTGGTAAATCACTGTTTCAGCTAGTTCAGGAAAAGCTCTCCAACGAGAGCCGTTTTTTTACTTAAAAAATTTCCTTTCTTATGTTCTCAGATTAAAAAACTGATATTTTATATACAATGGCAATGACGAAAATCTTTTTATGATCAAAACTGGTTGAAAAAACTCCACATAAATTCGTTTGAACAAACGTTTTTTTATAAAAATTGTGCATTATTTGATGCGCAGATTCCAAATACTGCGATTGATTTTGACATAAAAAAACATTTTTAGCAGCACTTTCCCTTGTTCTCGCAACTGACTAATTTTACAGTTGAAACTACATGAAATTCTAACATAAATTTCTATTCTTCTGCATATACTATGATTTTTAAAGCAAAGAGCAACCTTATATTTAACCTTATATTAAACAGTAAAAGAATTTTACGAAACGGCAGCGTCTCTGTTGACGAATGTGTCTGTATAAATAAAGCGAGCTATTTTTTAAATTTGTCTCTGTTCTGATTTAAAGAGCAAAGTGCGCAGAATACACTATGCTTTACAGGGCAGACATCTGACACGTGGGATTAAGTCTCTTTTATATCCGAAACGGATCCTAAATGTATTCTTAACTTCAATGTTAGCGCAATATTTAGAATCTGTACACTTTGTATACTTTTTGGCAGGAACCAGACTGCAGATGGAAAAGCAGAGAACAAGCGTACATTGCATAAAAGAAATCTCATTTACAACATTGCGACAACACAGATAATTAATTTGATCGATCTAGCACCAAACTCACGGTTTTAGTTCGCGCCCAAGTCTACTTTTGTGCACTTTTGGTGGGAGAATTATAATTAGGACTTCTTTTCAATAATTATGGAAGAATTTCCACTTTTTCGCGTTATTTTTGAGAATTTTGAATACGAAAACGTCAAAAACTCAAATAAAATGCAGCTATATAAATTTCAGCTTCGATCGTAGAGATTCAGTCTTGTACAGGATAATTAACGAAATCCTGCAGACTTTTGCAAAAACTTTATAGAATGTCTATATAAGAAGTATACATCATTATCATTGTCATCTTTATCGGAGAGCGATGCAGCAGACTGCTGATGTTGATTTTGCTTTAGCTCCATCACCATCATTTTTGTTACTGTTATTATTCGTTTTTGTCGCTTGAGCCGTTTTAGATTTAGCAATATTTTTCGTTGCTGACGTTCGTGCCTGAGAGGCATGGCTGCGGTCGAGCTCGCCGGACGTGCACGTTTGGATGACAGTGAATGACGGGAGGGAGCGGTCGTTGAGCTCAGCTCTCTCTCTCGTTTTGAAAAAGAGGATGATGATGGCTGATGGTGACTGTCGGCTGTCAGTCGTGACTGACGCGCCGACTCATCAATCCGACAATGATAATGACGATGCTGTCGTTGTGATGAAAAATGATGTTTCTGCCGATTGTGGTCGGTAACAGTTCCATATCCGACCGATCGATCATACGGAGCTACCCTGATTTCTCGACGATTTTAGTTCGAGTTTGAAAAAACTCTGTCGTTTCGCCAGTATTCAGAGCTACGGCTGTATGAGCGATCCTCCCAAACTGGCTCGGCTTTGTCCCTATAGCTATACACAACCTATAGCTACAGACAACCACTGGGTCCTATATATAGGACCCAGTGGTTGTCTGTCCTGATTGGGCATCTGAAGCACAGACGTTCGGTGGAGCACCATCGGAGTAAAAAGCCTGCGAGTTTGGCACCTAAAGACCAAAACGCCTACTTCCGTTTTTATACAGACGAAAATTACCAGCGGACGTCGTACGGGTTAGTTCAGTGCTAGTCCAGATGACTGGATCAGCGCCTGACCCTTGTATCAGTTGTGCGGCTTGAAGTGGAGCTGTAGGGCTCCTGGTGTCGATGACAAACACCTCGAGTGCCTTTGGAGCACCCTCGAGTGTCTGTAGACAATGGTGATTGTTGTTGTTGGTTTGATGCTGACATGTTGAAGGAAAAATAATGAGAGTAAAAAGCAAGGGGGAAAAAGCATACTTCTGTACTTCTCCGTACTTCTTGATACTTCTTCGTACTTCTTCGTACTTTTTTGTACTTCTCCGTACTTCTTGATACTTCTTCGTACTTCTTCGTACTTCTTCGTACTTTTTTGTACTTCTCCGTACTTCTGAAGTACGAAGTACGAAATACGGGATTTCGTATTTCGTACTTCAGAAGTACGGAGAAGTACAAAAAAGTACGAAGAAGTACGAAGAAGTATCAAGAAGTACGGAGAAGTACCAGAAGTACAGAAGTATGCTTTTTCCCCCTTGGTAAAAAGACAAATGAATGAACGGTGCATAAACGAGAGGCGGATGACCATTTATCATTCCTTTGTATTTTTCTGCACAATGATTCTGAGACCACGAGTCTAGTTTATTTACTCCGTTTGAATCTTGAACTCGATCAGGCGTGTGCTACGCATTTGGCAACAAGATGAGGGGAGAGGTACCCTTAAGTGCCTAAATTCTGAAGAATCAGTTCAGTGATTAAGTGTTACTTCCGTGATTAGGTGCCACTTCGCTGATTAAGTGTACTTGAAATTCCACATCGTGATAGAAAATTCAGAATTTTAGTTCAATTCTGTTTTTTTCCTTTGTATATTTCAAAATATAAATTGTATGACCTCTCGAAAAAATAGTCAGATCGAACTCAAAATTTTACCACCTTAAAGGCGAAAAAGTGCACTTTAAGCGCCTTCAGGTATGTGCACCTTCAAGTTAAGTGTTACGTTACATTTTTGCCCAGAAGTTTCTGAGATGTTCTTATATATACTTTCCTTCTCGAGATATACGAAAAATGCTGAAAGCCAGTGAAAAAACCCGAAAGATCTGACTTCTTTTGCGTGATTTTCAGCATTTTTCGTATATCTCGAGAAGGAAAGCATATTTTTCGAAAAAAATAATTTTTATCCTGAGATAGGGTCTGTAGTATCTGTGGTAAAATTTTGAGCTCGATCAGATCATTTTTTCGAGGGGTCGTAATGTGCCCCGATGAAAACTGGAGTTTTCCAGAAAACCCATATAAGAACATCTCAGAAACTTCTGGGCAAAAATATAACGTAACACTTAACTTGAAGATGCACATACCTGAAGGCGCTTAAAGTGAGCTTTTTCGCCTTTGAGGTTAAGACTATTGACAAAAAGCATTTAAATTGCAATATTAAAAATTTTCGCCGTTTGAAAATCCCTTGTCAGCAAGGAGTCGGATATGGGCTGATATAGGAGAAACGCGCGCCTCACGAAGCATCATACTATCGTGAACAGAGCCAATATAGCAGCATTTGAGGAATATGATTTTTCTGCACATAGATACGACTATTATTGTCCCAAAACAATAGTTTTTGTTGTTTGCCGCTGTAATAGAGTCGTTGATTACGGCCTGAATGAACATGAAACGATGTCAAGACATAGGATAAAGCTTTATGTTAGGGTGATGTAAAATTTCTCTATATAAGTAGACGATATGAATTTGAATCTGTTAATAAAGTCTTAAATTCTTCCCAATTTATGGTGTGATTAGTATGAAAAATGTGTTTGTAAATAGCTAGTTGTACGTTTGATTTTAGAATTGATGGAAAATACTGGATCGCGTCGATCTCTTTAACAGTCTCGTCAACGTCTTGTTTGTCCAGTTGAAACAGTTTAACAGTCTATTTATTAGCTAGTCTGGAAGATCGTCTCAGATTTGATTCGTCGTGATATGGTGAAATATTATTTCATCTGCTAATATTATTTCATTTTTTCTAATGTTTTCTCAACGTCGTTGATTGCGATTTCAGTAAAAGAAATTGAACTATAGAGGGTGTATGATTTGGTTATTCGTTTAAATAAAGATCGGAAAATAAAGATTTTTGGAAGCACCATGCTATATTAGAGGCCTAGGTGACTATCGAATTATTTTACCTACACAGCTACTATAACAGTCATTACAATTAACACCACATATTGCCGAGAGGTAAAACTTTGAAACTACCACAACTATGAGTCATTGAAAACTACATTTTCGG